AGCTTAGGCGACGTGGATGTTGTTAGTTTTATTGGCAGCTGGAACGATTCGTCTATGACCTATTACGCTCGAACAGTGGCATGCACACTACTGATGTCTGTTACAACACGTCTGAAGCTCCACTGTTGCGGGAAGATGGAACGGTGATTGCCGGTGCCGTACGGGTCGGCGTGTCTCTTTGTGCGTGTACGCGGTTGCCATCTGTTAATGGCGTAGCTATGGGTATAAATGAGAAGGGGCAGAAATCGTAAGGATCAGGAGGGAAAAACTGCGTAGCAGATGCGCGATACACGACGACTTAGTGGTGTTCACTGTGGTGGTGTTTGAGGTATTGTTGGCTTATTATTGAACACGTGTTGGAAGCGATTACTATGGCGCGGATATGAAATCTCCAAAATATGTCCCACCCACTGGTGTATATGTGAACAATGCAATTGCAGTAGTCTTTTGATTTCGATAACACAATAAGTGAAAATCATGAAAATGATTTTATTTGAGAAAATCAGTAGTGTACCTTGTCGTTTAGTTAAAAGCGAGCCAAATAAGCGTTAAATAAATTTGGATGATGTCAAACACGTATATATGCCGCAAGTTTCGCTCACCAAATTACTCTATCCCGAAATCTGAGAAATATACTAATTAAAATGCCAAAAAGATGTAGGAATGAAGATCGAGTCACATATTCAAACCAAGTATTTAAGTCAAGTCATTAAGATAAAATTATAATATTAGTCCGATTGGTAATCGTTTAAAACTATAGGCTTCTTTAAGAACTTCATTTGATTACACATAATGGCGTACTATGTGTTGACGGTTGGGCCTAAAGCAGAGAGCCTGATTTTTCCAACACTTCCCAGAGCATAATTGACGAAAAAGGTAATCAGTAGGTCTATAGCTAGTTATGTTGTTTATGGAAACCTGATAGGTATGTATTTACGTGCTATAATTTTTTTATTTCATAAATATGTGAGAATAGATATGATGCGGAAGAAGTATATTTGAGATATATACATATATCTCATCACGTCTAGATGTTAGCTTGTTTCAAAGTGAACTCATCTCTACGATAATATAGCTTTATTTTGTCTATCATCGTAAAATGTTTGTACTGCCGAGATTTGCACAGATCACAGAAAATCATAGAATCGTATGTTACGGATATTTGAATGAATGAATACTTCTTACTAGTCGACATGTTGAAACTTAACCGTTGAATCACACAAGCAAACTTCTTACTTGCGGTTGACGGGCAGACACATGCGTTTTCGTCCACAAAACATTCGCATTCTTCTAATCAAAAACAGCCCGACCCGAAAAACGGCATCGTCTAACATATTCGACGGTTCGACTCGAAACCCCGCACTATACCGGTACTTCAGTGCTCGGTGGCATCAGCTAGATCTCACAGTAACGACAATAATGTATACTTTTATCTTCTTCTTGGTGGGAGTTGCTTCGTTGATTTTATCACAATCCAGACTGAAATAGACAATTTACCAACTCTTCAATCGAGTCAGTGGCGTTGCTAGTAAGAACAGCTACGCTACAAACGTAATGGGGAGGATCTCAGGGCGGAAGATTGCTACTTAGATTTACTATTATCAGAATAGTACGCTGATAAATATAAATAATATAAACATTAGTAGTATTGATATTTTTACAGAGACAATTTAGCTGCAGCTGAATGGTACATGCACACCCAAACGCCCATCGAAGTATTTATACAATATTTACATGTCTAATTTGAAAAGTGTTTCTTCATAAGCCCCTAAGTGCAAGGATGAAATGGGATGTGAGGCTAACACTAAGCATGACCAAAAAAGTAATAAGTATCGTAAGGTGTCTGCTGTAGCGTAGGTAAAACGATGTTCCCACAGTACCTTCTGGCATGTATCAATGACTCTGCAGCCTATAGAGTGTTCCGTAATCGGTTTGTTAAATGTAAAACAAGTTAGCGCAGCTGCTTAGTAACTACTTCATTTGCAATTGTTCCACTAAATGAGCGTTTTTGAGTTAGTTTTTTTTCCCGGTAATGAGTGATACAACTATGTATGCGACCAAAGTGCCAAACCTTTCATCATATTAGTTCTAGTTTCTAAATTTTGATCTATAACGATAGTTGTTAAACCACTAAAAAGTATAACCGTAGCGTATATTTAGCGACTCTGATTCTGATTTTATCTCGTCAGGGCTTAGTGTTGTTTTTTTTTTGAACATAATACATACGGCCTCAAATATCGTAGAAAATGACTACCCAAGACCGCTTGCCATTGGATATGGACGCGAACATTTCAATACACATATATGTAGCAATAGAAAAAAGCATTATAAATTTCTTATGAAATTCTATGATATTCCGTGCAAAAGCCGTTGTATCCAATTCTGACAAATACCCAATAATCAACACGGAGCTAACAGAAAATGTACACTTACTTCGTATTTGCTAGCGAGGTACCATGTAGGCGCGTAACCTATGCTTTGGCCTCCGAACCTGTGCGTAGACAACCACCTTCGTCGTAGAACGCTGCAGTACCTCCGTGACATAACGCATTACCGTGTCTGCATTTTGCAAGATGATATCTAGAGTCACTAATTGAAGGTCAATATTAGGCTTGCTATTATGATACAACTTTATCAATCTTTTGACCAAACTTATGAAAATAGCAATAAGTATAATTGAGAAATGTACGACACATGAAGTGTTAGAAAGCTCCCCATTTATTACTTGGCTGCTTGTTTTACCACTTCTTAACGTAATTTGTAATGCCCATCAATGGGTTAGTCATTCAATCTGGGTAGAAATCCGGGTAAAGAATTAGTTATAGCACCATGAAAGCTACAGGAGAAGCTGTGTCACCGTGGTAGCACTTATTTTTTTTACAAGACACCTTTTTTAACCGCTTAAATCATATAAACCGCACTATTCCACAGGAACTATGGGACACATCTTCCAAGACTAATATGAGCCTTCAACATCTGCGATACGCTCATCTCAGTGCCGTTCGGTATATTGGGGTTTTATATATCGCAGCTAATAACAGTAAATAGTAGAACGTGAAGAAGGCGTAGTGTCGCTCCGGCATAATCATATGCGACGGCGTCACATCCGGTTCATCGAGCCAGTATCTCCATGGCCAAATGTAGAAACCCAAGATAAGCCGCATGCACGTGGCTACGTAAAATGAGCATAATGGGTTTCGAGAGTAGGGTCAGGTGCAGCCATTGCATAGCGACCATTCGCTTCAAACGAGTCTTACAGAGTTTTCCTTCACGAACGCAAAACAGATATAGATGAAAAAAATTTAATGGCCAGCCATGTATACTCGGCGCAGAAGGCACCGGCTATTCGGTTTCTACCTAAAACTATTGTCGGTGGTATGTGGCGGTAGTCATCTCAGGAGATTGGTATAGCACGAGTGAACAGATTACTCATGTTTTAGAGTTAACCTAGCCAGCTAAACGTTAGAACACTGTTTTTCTCATTCTACTCTATTATTTGACTTTGACCTACTTCAAAAATAGATCAGAAGTAGATATTTCTGATCTTTCTCATGCACTAACTGATGCATGCTTGCTTGCGCCAGTAGCAAGAGCAGAACAACTTCCCCTTTCATTTGAAGGAGCGACGAATTAAGTGCTTCGCCCATAATTTTCATCTCGGCAACGCTCCTATCGTATATATTCACTTTATATGCCGCGAATTGATTTTGCAGGCGGCTGTGTTGAAGTCATGCCAAGTAAAAGTAAGAATCTTTACGTCTCCGGAAATAACCAGACGCTTTCTAACAAGTTAAATACGCTAGAAACTGAAAATTGAAACGTAAAAAGAGTTCTTTGTCTTCTGCCCTCTTACTACTTCCTATTTAATTCGATTGATTTATCATGGGTACTGGAAAGGTACCTCTTCCACAAGGACAGATCCTTTTCTCAATATATAGAGAACTTTTTGCGGAACCACATACTTCTCAATGCGGTATCCACTGGGACATACCCACTTTAGTTTTTACGCAACCTCAATACACAGGGACGTTTAGGGCTGTATCAGCAAGACAGATCGTATATAAACACCGATTTCTATTCCCAAGAAACTGAAAGTTTCTATCGAAATTCTCGAATATCGAAAATAAATATTTTATAGTTTCACATTGTGTTTAAAAATTACTTTCACACTAAAGGACATATAAGTAAAACTTGAATAAATATATGTCCGAAGTTAAACATATCGTTTTGTCGCGAAAGCCATCTTGTGAGCATTTGCCAACTAAATATATTCTTATTGACGCACAGCCTTTTTTATAGATTGAATGCGACTGCATTGTAAATTGGCATTAAAATAATCTCTAAACTGTATTGAAAAAGTAGTTAAGTATAGAAAATAAGAGATCGATAACTAGCACTAAAAATTGTCGATTTCCATACAAATACTTTCGCAGTCCTACACAAACGTGCCTTTCCATAGATAACGCTCGGCGCAGTGATTTCTGATCAAGTAGTTGTTGCCATACGGTGGCAGCAAGAAATATCGTGTAACTGGAGGCTACTTAGCGATTCCGATGTTATTACCTTGACCCTCTTTTTTGTCTAGCAATATCCAGATGCAAACGTAGCCGACTAGATGATATGACAGGGTTTTAGCGAACTCCCGCTAGCGAATTAAAAATACACCTCTCCATGACAATAGAAATGAAAACTTCAAGGGCATTTTTTAGTTCGTGGCTGAAGCGGTACAAGCTGCGTCGCTTCAGCCATGAGTGTGATTGTTTGATTTAAATGTGTGGGCAGGATGTGGCCACAAAGCACTAGACAATCTAAATCTTATCTACCCATTATACCAAAACACTGTAGTGTCAAGCTTAGTATTTTGTTGTTGATTTGTAAAAGTTGATGTAGTTATTTTTAGAAATATAATACCTTGAGATCCAGTTTTCCAGGTTCATACAATGTAGAACAGTATAAAACTCTTATTTTTTAACACGAAATTTGTTTTGTGTTTGTTATAGGTGACTCCCAGCTCAAACAACACAACTACAAAAGAATTACGATGGGGAAGGGACACGTTATTTCGACGGCCATAGGGGTAGTCCTACTAACCTTAGTCGGTTTATCGTGTGCTGATGAACACGCCAGAAGCAAGTAAGAAAACTTTCATAATCTGGTATGCTACACACTTGTATTTGTTATGCACGAATCTTCGCAACTATAAATTGGACGTTATATCGTAAAAAGCCAAACTTTCATGCATTATGATTGACTCGGTGATGTTCCATCCAGTTTGTCGTGAGCTATAAATTTTCCCGTCGCAATTTTTTTATTCTGCCCCATCTTACCCCTTACTCTTTCCATTTTATTTGCATTACGCCTAGCTTAGCCAAATAATATAATTTAATTGCTAACCTACGCCTCAATTGTCGTAATTTAACCAAAGGCCCCACCGATTCCGTCATCCTATTGCAACTACCCCATTGTTAAAAATGTATTTCTTGATTTAGTCAATATACTAACTTGATTCTTAGCCTTCATTCTGCTCTAAGTGCCCTGTTCTTGCATTAGAATGCTTTAAAAGTCCTAAAAAGGTTGAAATTATCTCATCAGTCTGTTCTAATATTTGATTTTGATAAGTGTTATCTAACATAAGGTATAGCTATAATCCAGCCCGACACTTTAGCAGGCGTCCAATCGCAGTTACCTGTATACCTTGTTTTATTGGTTCTGTGATATAGCCAAAATTATCCAGCTAGTCATATTTCTTTGAGTAACTTTCTTATTTATGTTAGTAGCCCCGCTACTATGCAGTGCTTTTGCTTCAGTAATTGATTGTCCTTCTAAAATGCATGACACAGCTCAGTACTATACTACAATTAATCTGTTAAAGCACAGCATGTGTTCTGCTGTCCCGTTGCGATACTCTGGTTAGTGACTATACTTCATTAATTTTTTTTGTCCGTAAAGCCGTTAGTTTAGTACAGTTATTCTATGACTCTGTTCCAACAATGAGTGATAAGCCTACTGAAAGGACTCTGGTTTGTTATCCAAATGTCTTTTTCACTTCATGCGGTTCATCGGTTAACGCTCTGTATGCACCGCGATAATTCAAGAAATAACTGAACTCGACTGAAGGCGCCATTATAAACCGAAACCGATTTACGCATATAACAATAAACAATTTTCGACCATACACGCGGCGTGAGTTTACGATCTTGCTTAATCCAAAAGCCCGGCCAGCCTACAGTTAACCCCGATCTCTTATTGAAACGTGTTGTAATTCATTCACTCCGTCTCTTTATTTCAACAAATATCCATAACGCATTCATGGAGTTAAGGGAAATAAATTCCTCAACCCCCAGGTCGATAGTTTCGAACAAATCGAATTCGTACTGCTTTTCCTACGAGTAATAATACGCTGGAAAAGTATTCATCCCATCAGAAAATGTGATCTATATGTCGAGGCCATTGTTTCTTTCATCAACTAGAACAGCCATGGCAACTATTCTACACTACCTTACTGGAAAATAATAGATGCTAAAAAAGGCCAGATTGCCCAAACTAGGATGATGCTCTACCGGATAAGCCTAACGAAGTATTCTTCCCTATAACGATTATGTAGAGCGGGCAGAGATTTATCATATTTCATCAACCGTTTCACAGATACTCTCCAAATTAGAACCACGCCTCCCTCAATGAAAAAACTCTGAAGTATATAAATAAAAACAAAGGTGATTCATATTTCATAAATTCATATTTATTTCGGCGAAAATTACCATTTACCACAAAATTATATGGAAACGGAACCCCCAAAGGTTGCTCCCTAGATTCCGTGTGGAGTCCATTGCGTAGAACTTGAAAATCAAAGCATTTTAATTAACTTTTAAAAATTTTATGCAGAAACAGTCTCAACGATCGTTGATTAAATAGCGAAGTAGCATTACGCTTCTTTATCACAAGAAAAATCCCTCATCGGACAAGAGCATTATACATTTGAAGAGCACAAAGTATATGCAAACTATATCATTTCCTAAGCAATTCGGCAAAAATTACCATTCTTCCGTAGAACAGTAAACAAATAGAAAAGTCGACAAAAAGTATTGCTATATGCCAGGTTTCGCAATAGATAAAGGGAATATGTGAATTGGAAAACTCGGCCTGTCACGCAAAAAACTCGAGATTTTTAAAAAAGGTAATAGTGATTTTAGCGTTACAATTGTTGTCATGTTAAAAGCGTATGCTTTTGTTAATTAAGACTAACACCATTATCGTGCGTGAAATAGTGTGGTCTTCAGGTTTGAGATCAAATGCGTGAGCTTACTCTGTCTTTTATTTCTCATTTACAGTAATGGTATAGTAAACGAAACCGTGACTAAGGACCCGATCTTAACGGCCCTCTCACAGATATCGGATGAAAATAGGGTTAGTATCAGACAAATCAACGTCCTTACATTTAAAGCCGGTCGTCTGGCCGTCAGAATGAGAACTATGCCGCCGGCCCAGCTCACGTAAGTCTCTCAGATCTTTCGCTAGCGAGATTTAAGACTTAAGAGACCTTATTATTATTAGATCACTTCCTAAAATAATATGCCGTGATTATTTCAAAGTTCAGTAATAACCCTGATAAAAAAAACAGCTGAATGATATTGAGCTTTTGTGTTGAGGTATTTGCAATTCACTTGTTGTTTGTAAAACTCCTCTACTCGAATTCAAAAGCTTAGAAACGTTTTTTTTCTTAAAAGAATATAAGTTTTTTTTTATAAAACGGTTAGAAAAAAGGTGTTCCTTAATGTGCCATACTATATACGTTTTGGCCTATGTCTTTTTTGTTTGTTTGTTTAATTTCAGTTGCTTATCCGGTTGCATCGGCGAGCTACCTTCATCAGTACAATGCAAGAACGAGGGCTGGGATGGCACCAGCGTGAACTGGCGTTGTGAGGCAAACCTTCAGCGTGGTCGAAGGTTGGAGAATACTCAAGTGCGCTGTGAGGCCTATCCAGATGGCGATAAGGAATACATATTAAAAGGAAGTTGCGCTCTTAGTTATTCACTTGGAGGACATGCAGGTACGTATGGACTGTGAATTCTTGCTCAGATTTATTGCATTAAAAAACATCCTTGACGGGCAAAGCAGATGCATAAGGTGCTTAACTTAAAGTAGGCTCCGAAAAGTCCTAGGGAGATATTCAGACAGATTTTCGATAAAGTGCAGGTTCAACGGGCTCGAAAGGTTATCAAAACAGCGTCATAAGTCGTTTTCGATAATCCTAAATTTTTTAAACCAAAATTAGCCACCGTTTTTTTTGTAGCAGAGTATTTGTCGCCAGCCGAAGCGTCCAGACAAGCTTCAACGGCTAGCCATTTCAAGATGTTTTGTATTTTCGAGTCTTTGGGTCGTTTTGAACTCTTGTATTTGTAAAACCTTTGGTTCGCTATCAGCCCAAAATTATTCTGGGAACAATTAAATTCTGGTAGGATTTACCATGTATATAACGTATTTGAGCTTTTTTTTTTTAACGAGTCTATACTCATTTGAAAATGATTAATAAGTAGTTTAAACTCCGAATCGAACTTGTAATTGAGACGAACGGAATATGTATTGCATAAACATGGCCATTAACAAGGACATCTTTAGCAGGTGGGAAAAAGCTCGTAGAAATATTTTGTTTTGTTAGGCAGCGCCTTAAAACTAACTCATAACTCATTTGAAACCGACCGTTCTTGATAGAACATACCCGGGATCGACCAGCTACCGTCAGTCCGGGTGGTATTTTATTTATGTGTTATTGTTTGCACTTACTCCAAGGTACGCAATTTACCCTATAGTATAACTACAGGGAACGTTGATAAATCTCAAGCTATTAGCGAGTGTGTACTGGGTGGGGTGATATGTTTAAGAATACGTATGAACTATAAGTGGACTGTACAGATATATAGCTTCCGTTAAAAAGTACAATAAAAGGAATTTCGCACGGTGAGTCTATTCAAAAGAGTGAAAAAAAGTAAAGCTCGACCCTTTGAATACGTGGGCTCGCTTCTGTGCGGTATTCTGTGATACCAAAAGCAATTAATCTGGTGAGCAGCATATAGGTGATATATCCAACTCAGCGATGTTGTCTGCCGACAGCCACGGGTTAAGCCTTTACCCTTTCATAACAATAATGAGCCAAAGTAGCAAAAATTACCAAAAATCTATATTTCAGATTTTGAGATAATTATTATCTGTATGTATATATATTTGGACGTGTTTATATAAAGAGGAGGGAAAGAATATATATATTGCTTCGAATGTCAAATAAGGATCTATGCCAAAGAACTAAATGTAGACGGACAACAGAGTTTGAATTAGATGAACCATTTTGGTTAGGCTATAAGAAACACATTATTAGTTTAACGGTAGTGAGTCAAATTTCGCCTTTTTAATTCGAATTGTAACTTTGATCCCCCTAGACATGCATATTTTTGTTGGATTTAGTAATATAAGACGAGAATGCTCGAGGCCATGTAATGGCTGTGTGTAGGAAGTGATCAAGCTAATATCAATTGGTACACGCTGACGTAATACACTTTATTTACTCAAATAAAAATACCGATACAATAGCTAAGATTAAAGCACCCTCTTTTTAATAATATATAAATTTAAGAGGCAAAGATAAAGACTCCTCGTGATTAACGATTTCAAGCTTTTTTTTCAAACGACTTTTGATAAATCGGCTTTCTATGTGATATGATGTTTTACAACGACCAATCAACTTGTGTCCTAGAAAAAGTTAGCTAAAGTCTATTACGACTTAGCGTCATTATTTGTGTATGCGCTTTTGTCGCTCTTACGTAGGTCTAAGAAGGGCCACGCTAGTTTAATTCAGAATTAGCTCAATGTTTGACTTTGCACTTGACAAATAATAAAGTATCTTAAGAAAGTATCTTAAAACATTCACTAACGTAAAAAGGTATGAAATCCGCATAACATATGTGTGCAGAGAGATTTAAGTACAATTACAGGGAAGGCGCCTGGATAATGAATAACTGACAATGAATAATAATAAATTCTATAGCGGAACCGGCAATTTTTTCACTATCGTCTTCCAAGATTATAAATAGTTTTTGTCATTATTAATCACCATTCAGAATTATGTAGTTCCATTGGTAACCGCCGTAAAATTTAGAGTATGTTTAACAAGTCATTAACTTTTACGGGATAACAGAGGAGATGATCGGCTTATACTGAAGATGACTGAAATACACCCAGAACACGGGTAATTTTAGTTCGAATTATACGATATGAACAGGTATATTTAAGGACATTGAATAAATCAGATCAAAGCATCTCTTCCATGATTCGTGAACAGCATGACTGATAACACGAATACTGCTTTGCAGCACAGTTTGTTTGGAGAACACATTTCGTAAACTTAGTTTACCTGCCGCATTTGCCGTAATTATCGCTTATATGGGCAGTATTAATTATTACTAATTATATGGGCAGAATATTAGTATGGCTAAATATCTACGGAATATCTAGAAGTTTATCTGACTTTGCCTTGTGCATGACAAGATCTTCATATGTTCATCTAAAGAATACTTTTAGGACCCGACCACACAATGTAATAAAAGAGGTTTCACTACAATCATGTTAAAGTGGGCGTAGTGAAGAATAAGCAAGCGACTTCAATGATGACTGCGTCGGTCTCAATAACCCAATCTCAATTGAATAATGTTCATGCTCGTCTTTTATTAAGAAAACTAGAGGATAAATATTAAAACGTTTTTGCAGAATATATGTCGTATCATTGAGTTTACTTGCACACAAGCAGCCCTCCCAATTATCTAGAATCCTTAGCTGTCTTACTTTGTTATTGCACTTACTTCACATACCGACTAACTGTTATTACCTGTAATCCTATATATAAGTTAGCTTACTAAAAAGAAAAGCTTATAACTGAATTGTTTAGAAAAACCTGTAATCAAGTTAGACTTGAATGAAGTCTAAGGATTGACTTATTTTTTTGTATGTTTGGTATATAATTCAAATATATAATGATTCAAAATAGTTGCTATCAACATTTGCGTAGCCACCTCAGGAATTTCCAAGTTAATCTGTCTTTAAAAATAGATAACTGAATAGAAGTTTGTGTTTGTGTACCAAAGATGTTTTTTAATTCCACAAAGTTTATAGGTAAAACACAATCTAATATTTGAAAAGCGCGCGCATTATAATGAAAGCCAGTTATTAAAACAGGGTCTGCATCGTCGAATCCGTCTGTTCGTCATCCGAGCAGCGACAGTCCGCGAAACAAGCCACTCCAATACATCGTTCCACTAATTATGGTCGCTATTCTAGTCGTTATCCTCTGCGCCGTATTTAAGACTTGTATGCGCAAGAGAGATTCTGCGGGAACTATTATGGGACCACCTCCGGAACAGCCGATTGGCGGAGGAGGTTTTTATGGAGGAGGGGGCGCCTATCCCACTCAACCTGGGTTCAACCCCGGATTCGCTCATCCAGGTATGGAACCTCGCCTTTATCAGGGCTATTCCCCAGGTAAGCGTCTTAAACAGACTGCTCAATTTTGTAAATGCCGGCTATAGTGGAAAACGTACTTCAGGCTTTGTGTTTCAAAGGATAAATGTTTTACTGCTGATAATGTTGTCGTGCTAGTACTGTGATATTCGTTTCTATTTCTACCTGCTGGGTATGACCGTCTGGTGAGGATTCCTGAGTCCAAAATTTAGGCCATTTCACCGTTTTCGCAGATGATTTTCGTTAACCGTAGATTCTGCTGTGGCTGCGGGAGCTATAACCGATATTTTGCATGCTTGTTTTTTGTGTCCGTCAATGGCGCTCATTCCATTCACTGAATTGGACGTATTATGCATCCATTAGGCTAGAATTTGTCAACTATCTTTAGATGCAACATAAATCATAACGCTGATTTATTACCATAGATATTGTTATACATCATGCCTTTCTGCAATCGTTCAGTGTTATCTGCTTACAACCACTTACATGTTGTTGCGTTAATTACATATATTTCTGCTTATTTACTATAGATTTTACAAAAAATATTTATCTGTGTCTGTCGTTTCTATTCCCACTTGTTCCTGATACGATAGGTTATGCACCGCCGGTTGTCGCGCCTCAGCCGAGCGGAGGGTCTGGCAGTGCTCTTGGTGCTGGTCTTGGCGGTTTTGCCGCCGGGGCGGCCACAGGTGGTCTACTTGGCTATATGATGGGCAATCGCGGTAGCGATCATCATCATAGTTACAGCGATGGTGGCCATTACGGAGCCTACGGGGGCGAAGTTCGAAATGATGACTACGGCGGTGATGGCGGAGGAGGCGGATACGAAATGAGCACCGACTTCGCTGATACTGCGATGGAATAAAGGAACAACAATAGTACACGTCTCAGTGAAAGCACGCCTGCTTAAAATGAAATCAGAACAACAGTAGTTATAACAACATTTATTGAAACTGAGTCTGATGATGTTTTACTACATCCAGTCATCCAACAGTTCTGTGTTAAAAAAATAAGTGAAAAATCATTCGCAAAATTATTGTTAAGTCGGAAAGAAAAACAGAGCAGCTGATTTCCATATGTACGATGCAAATAGAAAAGACATCGGACCAATTATAGCAACAGAAATTGAGAATAGGCCACATCAGCAATAGCAATAATAATAATAACAAAAAGTATAATAATATCAAAAAAGCATGAAAGTAAAGGTCGCTAACGGAGAAAGTAGTTTTTCAGCTGAAACTAATTATTTTGTTAACATATATGGTTGATTATTAAACACACCCTTTAAACTATGATTTCCAATTTACGGCGCATATTGGCTAGTTTCTATACCATTTATTAGACTAACGATCAACACAGAGTAACATAGCCTTTGAGGCTCTAATTTTATATAGAGGGTTAACCCTTGCAATCAGAACTCATACATTTGATAATATGTTATTCTGAAGAAGCTCTTCAGTGCAGAAAGTATGAGCTACATTTACTCAAAAAACCACATAATACTACTATTCCGGACTAAGTTGGTTACTTCGGGCTCGAAAATAATAATCTATTAGCTAAAAAAAATTTAAAAAAAAAAGCTAGTTTTTGCCGTACATCGCCATCACCGTTGGATAAATGTGATGTTTCCGCTGCGACGAACAATTAATTTAGGAAGTTTCGGAAGGCCAGTTTGATACAATTTTTGCAACAGTACTAGGCAGCCTCTGAATTGTCTTTTGTAGGGAATAAATGCCGATAAAATCATTCAGGGTGACTTTAGTTCACCTTATCAATTCAATCATATAGAGCGAGCACTGATTGGACAATAATGTCAGCAGATCTCTTTAGAACTTCCTAGCGTTTCGATGTTCATAAATATTGTATTTCAATCTGGTGTCTATATATTATGTGTCTGTGCAATAAGATTTCCAGTCGGTCATAGTGAAATAGTCACCAGTATAAAATGCATGTAAAAATAGCATTACAAACAGAACACTGCGCTCCCTTATTTTGATGCTTATAATATACGCTGTTCACGGTTCACTGTCTTCTCTATTCACACACATGTTGTGGCGTTGAAGAACTTAGACGCTACACGTGTAGATCTTATGAAGTTACGTAATTTTTTACAAAGCGATCAAAACAAACGGATTTCTTTAGCTGATGTGCAGCTTGGTCAGAAAAAAAACAATTAAAAAAAACACTGGATCTGACTACAACTGACTCTAAAAGACAGATGTTTGCAGACAGTAAGTTACGAAGGTACAGTGAATCATTGGCCATTTGTCAAAGAGAGTACGATCACGAATTGGCGTTCTTACATACCTGCTACACGTCTCTTGAGTTTACGTCAGTTTCAGTTCGCTCCACAGACTTCTGATGATACGAACGTTCAGGATTCTACCTTAAAAACACGCACCACACTGGGCTGCATGGTGCATCCAATAAGGCTACAGAAATTTAATTATAAGAGAAAATTCTTGTCAGGTTCTCTTTGAATTTAATGGACAGAAGACTCAAACTTCAAGTAGCAAAAACAGATCTGGCACTAATAATTTTATATTATTCTTCATGTCGAACATGCATTCAACAACTGGGAAAGAATACTGGACCATCAATTCTGACAAGTTGGCATTTTTCGTGTGGGATCATGATTTAACAACATCAATAGTGTTGTTGAAGCAACATTTTCGATGTTTACAGCTTTATTGCATATAGCCCGCTTAATTGTCACTATCAGCAAACAAAAGCGAGATTTTCGAATAAACGTTCTATATATATATACATATATATGCATATAGGTTATTCCCATGCAGATGAGTTGCATTCTCTAGGTGCGAGCGAGAAGAATCGGCAGCTCTGGGGTGTGCATGATGTTTGATTTAAAGATGTCTGAAAATTCTGTGTAGTGCTTGAGTAGTGGTAACAGTTAACTTGTCTATATTGAGAGGGTATGCCGCAATAGGCCTTAAACAAGCGCATGTTCGTATTCGGATTTGCGGCACTCTGAAAAGATCAGTATAGATAAAAAAAATTTTGCTGCACGGAAAAAGTTTCAATCAATGTAGTCACCATGAAACTTTTTCATCAGAAACGTGAGGCTATCATTACATTGGGAGCGAATGGGACGGTTATATCAGCGCAGAGGTGTGAATAACCGTAAACAGTTACCACGCAAGAATATAGCTTTATTCTACTATGTTAGGTCGTCCAAGTTGGAACGTTTCCATAATGTGATTGCAATCCCGCGAAGGGATTTTTCAGGACTGATATTTTCAGTCGATAGATGAACGTTGGCGAAATGCCACAGAACTGTGTCTTTCCCACGTTATTAGTTATACAATTTAATAGAGACGAATAGATTTGATAGACAGAATGATTGTTAGCTTTCAAAGTGAAGAAATATCTTTAAAAATAATTTTGATTTCTTTTTATGCCCATTACGTATATAGTGATTGTTGTATATAACATACAACGGGTTTACTATATTAAACATAAGCAGATATCTTGGAATTAATAGTATTTAATCAATCAATAAGCGTAGTTGAAACTAGGTTTCTAGTCAACAGATGATTGTGCCTTCATTTCATCTCAACTTTTAACAATCAATATGATATCATCTTGACAGACAGAAGTCTCAGACAGTTGCAACTTATTTCTATGTAAGTATCACTGAGGATCTTTTACACTATTGCAAAGCAACATACACGTAAGCAGCTCAGTGATCTGCACGAGCTGCACTTGAATGCACCCTAAATATAAGCATACGGAATGCATATATATATACACATGAAGAAAGGAGCTAAAGTTACTTTTCGAACAAAGATCTAATTTTATGTAACGACTTGTAACTTGATGTTAAGGGAGATATAGAATAAATTGCTACCTCTGCACGGAAGGAACAATGCATAGTATTTCAGCAGTGTACTTCCTTTTGACAGGGAAGAGGGAAAGGTGACAGACGCGTAACTAAGAAACGTGTTCGATCATATTGAAGATGGTGCACTCGGTACTTTTTTTTTACGTCACATATATTTATTTCGGTGGAATAGGTACAATAAATAATAAACTATATTAAGTATTGAAATAGATCTGCGTGGCATAAAAATTCTATTCGGATTTGAAGCACTTGCGGACAGCCCGGCTGTTGCTAAAAAGCGAGTATTAAATGAGGGAACTTCGTTGCATAATTGCAGGCCGAAACACTCAACAGTGACTCAATTAGCAGCAGTATTCAACTTATGAAACAAGGCTTAGAAATTGTTTTCCACTCGATTCGTGTAACGCTGATTTAGACGGTCACAGACAGAAATTGGCAACGTAATCTTAAAATCCCTGTGCTTAAATATTTTCTTGGATTTTTCCTTTTCTTTTGAGATTGAATAATAGTAAACAATATGTGGGCGTTTCCAATAGCTAATTGTTTTAATTTACGTTTGTACTATCACTCGATAGTGGTGACGAAAGGCGTTAAAGAGATCCATTAAAATTTCTGTTTCTGATTCCCTTAAAGTCACGCACGATCGTGAGAACTAGCGGCATGACGGAAATACATCATCAGTTCTTTCTATGTTAGTTGGAATAACAAAGCATGGAAATGAGCAGTTTAACAGCACAAAGTACTAATGAGCACCTTCTTCAAGACATCCCAATATTGCTTTGTATACTCTGTAGTAATGACCAATGGCATACCCTTTAAACTGGAAGCATTTTTTCTCTAATAAATTTTCCTATTTTAGGTCTATCTTTTATTTTGTCAAGGTGTAGATCACCCCGCCCGTTAGCGGTTAAGTTGAAGGGGTTTTCAATGGGCTGGCTTACATAAGATAAGGTTAAATATTGATAACATTAAATGCATAGTTGCTAAAATCGCAAGAGATCTAATAACCTATTTTATCGTATACAGAATACCTACCCAGTATACTTGAGTATCTTCGTAGCGCAGGACAAATGCCGTACACGATTTTGATCTGCGCCCTTATCACACGAAATAACTAAATGTTGAAATAAGCAAGTCTATTGGTAAACATCGAAAATGATTAATATGAAAATCTGATCGTAAACGATAGAGACGACGTCGACGATGAATTGACGTGTCTAGTTCTCACAAAAACGAGACTAGTTTTTATTTTGCAGTCCTATTTTTATGGAATAATTATTTCCAGTTTGTTGTACAGATCTTCGATAACAATTAAGTAGGAGTCTTTGATTTTTCGCGATTTTTATTATCGTTGAGAATCGCGTCCAAAAAGCCACCCTTAATATATATAGTTGATTTCTTGGTTTAGACATGCTCCTCGATTTCCTCGAAGAGAGATGCTATTTATATCCTTAATATTGCGTCTGTTGTTTTTTTGTAGTCGCCGGCCAATTATATAATAATAGTTCCTCGCCTGGGTCTGAGCCATCGAGAAGTGTTACGTATTGATTCTTACAGTTTAACGATTTGGTGCAATGTTTGCAGAGCAAGAAGTTTTTGAGCTCTGCTTCGATCTTCGTAAACAGTTTGCATCAAGTCAAAACTTCAACACTGAAACGAGAAATTGCAAATTCAAGAGTCATCTAACTAAGGATAGCTCACACATTAATTCACTGTTCGGCAGAACTGACTCCATAGAGGAACTTAGATGATCCAGACGCGATGAATGGATGTATCCAAACGTAGGCCTGTTCTTCAGCACTCATGAATTTCATAGCTTCAGGCCAATGGGCATAATGCGGGCTAAGCATACGGACGAAAGGCGAGCTGTTGGAATGCTCGGGCCGCCTACTCAAATCAGTACCTCGTCGCAAATTGTTATTTTGTTCAGGACAAAGTTTTTCAAGGCCAAAGTTAGTGTCACTTCAGCATTCACGGGAACTGCTGGTTCTGTTCCAGGAACTGCCACGAGCTTACCAACAAGCACATGAAAAACGTTCTCTCCGCGGCGTTGCACTTCGCAGTTGCTGGTCATGCATACAAACACAAAAAAAAAACAATAGAATTGCCGCTTATAAAATTGACAGTTTAAAAAATATTGCAGCATTACATAGTACTTTGCCAGGTAGTAAACTCTAAAACAATGGTTGGACACCTAACGACTATTGTTAAATAGAACCGCGAATTACCACCACTAAAATTACGGTTGGATATATTTTCAGATTCAAATAACTTATACAATCTTTTTAACTGCTTCTACCTTAAGTAGCGAATAATATAGCAAAGTATGACAAATAACGCTATAAGGGGCAGGTTTTTTTTATTATTATTATATAACACTAAGGATAGGGCAACATTTCCAAACAAACTCGCCATAGAGTCTATATTCAGTTTTGTAGATTAGTTACCACCATTAGATACCGAGTCTATGTAGCGAACTCTCGTACGATCGCCACGCTTTTTCATTTCCTATGCTCCACAGCATTAATTTCCTGTTTACCATTCTTTAGTATATTATTATCACACTCGTCGCGAAAACCATTTCCTAGTACCCAACAAAATTTCAGCATTTACAATTCGAGTTAGATGTAGAACTGACTGAAGGTTAACTCCTCATGCACTGCAATTATCTAGCAATTTTGTTATGGAAGCTTGTTTTGGACAAAAGCGATGAAGCATGGAATTGTACATACACATGATAAAGCGGATAAGCTAGCAAACGAATTATTTCAGTCGTCAGTATTTAACCGGTTTCCATCAACATTTCTCACCGATTGTCTAACGACAACCAATATAAATATTCTTAGTCTTTACATACATATGATTCATAATAAGAATCAATGCGTAACTCGTAGAAGTCAACTGCAAAAATTAAACAACTGATCATGCCGATTTCTGTAGCTATCGAACTGAGCAGACGACAGTTAACGAAAAGACTGACTGGTTCGAAAATGGGTAGGCAACAACGAGACAGGTGATGCTGCATACCTGAATGGATATTCTGTTTTTTCGTGCTCTTAAATCCGGTACTTCAGCCGTTCGGCAGTATTCCAGACAACTGGCTTCAATCATGAAACGGTCTACGGAAGCGCGGCTCAAGCAACAATGGCAAATTTAAACATTAAGTTATTAAAATAAAATATTAAATTAAAAAAAAATAAACGGTTAACATTTTTTACAGCATTCATATTATTATCGTAATTAGTGTCGTGTGTTTGCGGTTAACATTTTTCGTAATCAACCAGGCGCATTGTCATGATGCAGCGGTGAACATAGTACCGGACGAAGAAGGAAGTGGAATATTTTAGAAAATTTTTTCGTGGCCCAATTTATATACGCATACTTTACCGAGCTCGATCATTTTGCGTTTTTGTCTCAAGTTCGAAATATATATAATCGATATTTTGCAGTCTACTAGGCAATTTAACTCCTGATGGTTCTAAAACACATTGTGACCGCTACTACCGTATATTTGCACATGAATACCCTAGGTTTGCTATATAGGATGTATATTTCCTTTGTTTATATCGCTGGTTACCATGCCCGATTATCCAGTGACGCAGTTAGGACAAACTTAAAGCAGTTTTGCAACCTTTTTTTTATCCAAGATAAGTTAATGTTTTGCATTTTAGCTTTGACGTTTGGCTTCCGTCACGGAACAACGTATGCGTGTCCGCTAATCTTTTTCATCCTGGAAGTACTTTACGCAACGCCATGTACCTGGGCCACATGTATAGTGGCATTATAGCATAGCCTTCCTTTGCGGACATATTATAATAAACATAGGAATATACATATGCATAATTTTTTTCCATTTACATGTCACACCAGTATATTTACCGCCAATTGTAACGTTGTTGGATGTCTTATGGCGATTATTGCCAATCATGGTGTTAGCACATTGATTTATGGTAACATTGTACATGAAATTCGTGGTACCGCTAATCAGGTGATTTGGAGCACAGCTGTCCTATAGCCGATCACATCACCGACAAACGATGGATACAGTGACCTTCAATCCCCAGTACTGCCAAATCAAAGCAGATAAATTGCAGAAACAGATTATTAGCTCATTAACAGGTTGTGTATTTTCTTAGCATTAATACTTTAGCACTTTAAGCAATGCTAAAACTAACGGTGACGGGGACCGTATCATAAAAAAAAAAACAATTATTTGGCATATCAACAACGAAGTTCAGGGATATCTTTCCATGAGCACACATCATTTAGCCTCTCAGTCCGAGCTCAGTTTGGCCCATAGAGATGTATCGTATTTATATGCATTCGATGTATGTAGATTGTAGAAATGGGGCATTATTAAATACTTTAACGTTATTTGTCTGCACAAGAAGCAAGTAAAATAATCGTACTTTGTAAAATAAATTCCTTGTTAAGGGCAATATCGTTTGTTTAGGCTACAAGGCCAATCAGCATAGGCTATCCATTTAACCCCAAAAGAAATTGATAGCAATCAAATGATGCGTAAGTTTTATTTTGTAACAACTAAGTTGTAAACTTGCTACAAGTACTGAATCAAAAAATCATCCTAAAAGGTACCGATTATCCAACACGTAATTAAAGCAATTGAAATTAGATTGTGCTACGCAATTGTCCTGCCGGATATATAGCTATCTCGGTGTTTCGATAGCGTGTTACACAAAACTCCGTAAAATTCGTACTTAATTGTTGCGTGTATCATGTGTGTATATATGGATAGTTGGAACGGCGCGGGTAGAACATTTACCCGGACTCGTCAGAAAATTAGCAAAATCCCTTCTGGCGGTTGAGATGATACCGAAAGACCCCGGGATTCAATCCACTCTAATAATATACGTGGTATACAACAAAGCAAAGTCTAATTATACCGAAAAACTCGTGTGGCACTACCAGCACCCGTAGTTACCCCCTAATGAAAACGGTATATCAAGTATTGCCATTTAGATTACGAGTGGCTGTAATAACAATATCTTATGGTGAACAAAACGTAAATACAGGTAGATCACCGTATAACGTGTGGTTGTACGAGTTTTACCTATGGCGACGATAAAAGATTTCATTCGGTTCTACCGGGCGCTGTTCTGTCCTATAACGTCTTTCTAACAGATCAGCACGATGGGCACCAGACTAAGATGGCGCTGACCGATTTCAGCCCAAAGGCATGAGTGAAATAAATCAATAGCGAAGTACCAATTGGCAAATGAACAACGACAAGACGCTCTTTGGGTAGAATAGTCAACATACTCGATCGCATGAGGAGAGTCGCTGGAAAATCCCCGAAACAAGCGCCAACATGTATGAAGGTACCGATTAATGCACCTTGTCTGAGCACGGAGTCGGCGTTGGGAACATATTGGCACCCTTTGGCTGTAGCTTACATTAAACAAATGGTAGATATCAGTTTCTATAACGGGTACTTACTATATACAGTTTCTATAACGCTTACTTTGGTAATATGGCTTGTGAGATCCGCGTAATACAACAATCTAGGTACTAAAAAAAAATACTAGCAAACCTAAAACAGATTCGTGATCTGGAGCTTCTGATTTACCTTGGATTCAAATGATTTCGAGGACCTCGACATGGCTGAGTAATTAGCACGAATCATAATTAAGAAGCAGCGAGCAACTCTGCGCCAAGGTAGAAACATCAAAAGATGTCGGCAAAGCGATGCACAAGTAACTGGATGTCAACCCCGACGTCTGTACCTTTGGTATTAGAGAAGGCTTTCCAGTCGTTCAGTTTGTAATGGAACTTTTTACCCGACACAATTGGGTCTGTTTGATTAGTATAGTAAAGAGCGCTTCATTAGAAATACAATGGCTATCAAACGCATTAAAATATCAAGTCAAGGCTGATAATATGCCCATTTTGTCACTCAAAATTGTAGCGATGAGTGGTATTCTTGATAATTTTAGAGAATAATAAGCTTACGTTAATCGGTATTAAAACTTTCCTTTAATTCCTACTCTTTTTCGCTTCGGGGCAGAAACATGACACAGCAATCGCACATTGTCGTTTTACTCTATAAACCCAGTTTAATTCGGCAGATGTTTTGACAGGTTATAAATAATTGTACCTACAGGTTATGTTCTCGATTTTCTTACGTAGCTTTTACTTGTAGGTTTCGTGACAGGCATTTAGCGATGATTTGGGACACAATTTTATTTTATTCACTACACTATACCCACGGCTGTTGCTAGCTACCCAGACTTATTTTGTATTCAATAGCTGAAGATGAAGCAAGGATGAACGTTTTGTTAGAATAGAGTTGAGTAAATTTGCAGCTTAATTAACAAATGTAATTTGGGCTTTAGTAGGGTATGCCTCTAGCTGAAGCTTTTCCTCGCACCAAACTGTAAGACCTATTATTAAATATTTATTTCACGAAAATACATCATGCTTCCTGAGATCACGCATATGGAAATGTTTCGAAAACCTTTATTTAGAATCATAAACACCATCCTCTCATACATAGAGCTACGAGTAAGGTTTCAAACATAATGCAAGGATCATCGGAAAATGATATGATTATTCGCGATGACTATCGTGACATTGTTCACAAACCTTGTCGTGAACGGTCATATTCCTTTTATATTAGTGATTATATCCAACGAAACACCTAGTTGAGATGTTTGTATGTAAACAATACCTAAGAATAATACTAATATTACCTATATTGTAGGCTATTATAGTAGTTTACAATATAAGTGGTTAAGTCAGTTAAGGAACGATAGCCCGAGGTACACAATATGCGTGACATAAGACAAGGTCATCATATACGTACTTGTCATGCAACGACAGTGGTGATAAAGAAAATCTTTACTTGTAACACAAATTTTGTTATAATTCCAAGGCACCACTGCAGACAGGTTTGATAAACACATTAATTGCCTATTGATCGGTAAAATCACTCGTAGTCTTCATGATCTTACCAGTGTCAAATTATGCATGAATTTATTCCACCTGTGTGAGGTCTCAGACTCGAGTAATGCATTATATCAAACACACTCAATGATACATACAGCTGAGGAATCATTCAAATCAGCCATTACATTTGTGATCGTACCGAAATGACACGCTGTTACAGTATGTATATAAATTTATGTGTTTAAATAGACAGGTGAATACATTAACGCGTTCTGTTCTCCCGGGTCACGGCAAATTTCGAAATATGTGAAAGAAGAGGATTTTCCAGTGAGCTATTGGCCAAATAAAACCAGTTTGTAACAGTCAATTCGAGTGTACGTAGATTGCTTACAATGCCTGATTGTATCGTAATAATTGCGCGCACGGCACTATCGCAAAGTTGTTAAGTTTCTAAAAACTGGATATATTACAGGGGCAGCACACGACCAGTAGATAGAATATAGCATTTGCATGGCTAGCAAAAATCATCTAGAATACATATATGACAGGAGACAGCTTAATACCAGGATTGAGAATGCTATTTTCTTCTGCAAGTAAGCAAAATCATTCTAATTAAATTTAAAAAAGGAACTATCTGTGGTATCGCTTTAAATCTCAACCGTTTACCGCAGCACACAACTAATACTGACGAAAGACATGCCTGGTGCATGTTTTCGAAAATAACGGGTATTTTCAAAATTAATCTTGCAATCGGATACACCGAATAAAGTTCAACACACGGCATTTTGAAGATCTTAAAAGTGCCTCTTTGGAGACTAAGTTTGGGGATTCGGTTAGCCCAATGGGCCACTATGACTGAACGACCTCACCGGGGGTAATCTGCCACATGCCGCGACGTCACGCTGCACATCACAACAGCATCGAAACCTCCAAAGGAGCACTGCAGAGCTTCCGGTGCCCAGAACACGCCACCCGACGTCGCTGTTCGGACCGGAGGTACACAAAACGGATGCAACAGTTACACACCGGAAGTCAACCGATACCAAGAGTTGGAAAGCCTTACCGCCTGAGACCCATGAGGTTTAAGAAAAGACGAATTAATAGGCCGCTATTGGCGAGCTGCGATTTATTGGGAAACATAGAAAATATTGTTCTCTGATGGACTTTAATCAGATTGACGTCAGCGATTTTTCTAACAAAAAAACGGTTGTTCCAAGGTTTCTTATTATACTACAGCTCAATTTTCGTAAAGTATTGTATATCATAAAGCTTTCTGATAGATAAATAACACTGCACCAGATATTTATGCTATTTGCAAAAGAAACAAGTATCTCTTAAATCAGAAAGGACGTTTTAGAGGTCCTACTGGACTTGAATGTATCTGTTATGTATATAAATAGGTATATATTGAGCAAAACAAACGAAATAATAAGGAAATTCTCAGTGAAAAATGTCAGTTTAGATTATTGATAAAGATCCGTAGACTTATCATTTAATTCAGTTCAATTCAAATATATTACTGATACGCGAACGCCGAGTAACGTGCCAAGAAATGATAGTTACTGTTATATACACTTTAAGTCCATTCGCCAATTGTGTGCGCCAGTAAAAAGATAACCGCATGCCGTTTATTGTGGAACTATCAATTTATCTACTTTATATAGAGTGGTATCGTTCAAACGATAAGCCTGGTATAATCGCTTGTTGCCGATCGAATTCCAAGCCCTTGGGAGAGGTTGACCCACGAAAAGGACATTTCAAAAAGTGGTAGCGGCTATAGACAGTGTGGTGCCGTTAATGTACGCAGGCCTTAAACACAATAGATAGCAGACTTGTTGGTTCAGCTTAACTACTGTTCAGATGTTAGTAGTTTCGTGAATAAAGTTAGGCATACTCTGTGTTTTCTTTTCATGGTTAGTTACCATGCCAAGCTAGATACCACGGTCCTGCATCGGAAAAAACTATACGATCACGGTAGCCGGAACTTACTATAATTCAGGTGTTCCACAGCAACCCTTTTTTCGTTCTGCAGCTTATGCCCTATTAGCTTGTTTTTTTTTTGTTCGAGTCATATAAGCTAACTTTCGAGTCAGCCACAACTGAGGCAGAACAAAAACAAGTAGCGCGGATACCCGAGGAAGAATTTCTGGTGAAGGAAGAGCCATTCTCCGAGTGGATTGTTTAATACAGGAGGGTTTTTTCAGGCTGTTGAAAACTCTAACAGTACTAATGCCAGAAGCCAGTGAACAATTAAGCATACTTTTCTCTGAAATGCGAAAGCATTGCTACATGGAAAAGCGGTCAAAACAGCGTTTGGTCCGGTTCATATCATTCAATACATGCTATTTAAATACACGACTGAAGTCACACGAATAACAAGCGGTCAACTTTGCTCCAAGCCAGATGAGTGCAAATCAAAATGAGTATGGTAATATTTACTGTACAGTTTTTCTCGAAAACGTAATTTTACTGATAGCTGAAGGTCACCTCAGAGCATTTCTTTCTCTCTCTCTTTCTCCTTATAGTCGTTGGCCCTAACCCCTACAGTCTTTATTAGTACTATTGCTACTGTTGTGCAAACACCAAGCTAAATGCAGGTCTAATTCGAAAAAAATGCAAGTGTGGATAACAGCTGTTAGTATGAGCAGCATTGTGCCTCCTCCGCGTCTACGGCAAAGTGTTTGTTAAACGCACACTGCGGACCGGTACGTGAAATTGTTACACTGATGGCACTGGCAGCCTTTAATCGCAATCATAAGAATCAGAAGCTAACTCTAAAAATATTAAAAATTTTTCAGAGAGTTGAAACTACGCGACGAAACAACGGTTATTATACAACAGGAACTGCCAAAAAAAAAAAAAGGAAAATGTCGCATGCTTTATTTCACGCCAAGCTTGCAAATTGTACGTTTTTTGCAGTGCCAAAAGATTTACAGTGGGCCTATCTAATTGCGCTATCGAAAAACAGTAGATATGCAAACAAAGAACATGGAAATGTTTCGATAACTGTAGTGGTGAAAATAGCAATTTTTTAAAAGTGTTTTCGAATGGCTACAGTAAAGGCGGGTTTTTCGAATGAGCTCTTGTTTAAGTAATAATAAAACACAAACCTAAAAAAAAATTCAACACCATTTTTGAAGCGTATTCACTATAACAAAATACTATTTGTGTGGAATTGTTGTTATGTGTGTACTCTGATTTTTCCACTCAGACTGCAATACGTTTAAAGTAATGGTATAGTTTTAGGATTAATTTACTTCGTCGTGGTATTATTTGAGTGCCTTGTTAGTTAGCAACGGGATTACAGAAGCACGTTAGTAAATGGTTAATTAAATCAATTGAAATTTTCTTTAGAAAACGAATGGGCCTGATATGTAAAACTCGTGCCGTAGTTGGCTTCCCATATAAGTTCACTTCAAAATATCTGCGACTGGAGATTAACTTATACCGTATATAATTCGCACCCTATTAGTCCCTTGTTTACAATGTTGTCGGTTAAATTACGGTAATACCCATATTTTAATGGTATTTTGATGGCAGAGATCTTAATTAACAGGAAAAGTGTGACTGAATTAGGCTAGCACCATAATAAATGAATATAATTGTCATTTGCTCGTTTGAGTTTATTGAAAGTATTTGATTATATATCAATCCCTTTAATTCTTGGATCTAATCTAGCTTTAGCTAACTGAACTTCTTTATAGTTTGACTATCAGTATTAATATATAAGTTTAAGGGTTTTGAAATGGCATCAGAGATAAACATATCTAAATCTTACCCTTTGCCATTACTAGGATAATAGTATTTTCGAAGTGATTTATTGTTTTCATTTGAAACTTAATTGAAGGCACCATAAAAAACAGCTGAAAAATTAATTCATATAAGCCATGCAAACATACCTTTATACATATTGTGCTACTTGCCTTTACCCCCTGTAACAATCCATGCACAGATACAGTAAATGCGCTAACTTTGGTTCAGCAGAACCCTTGTTGTACATATTAGTGTGTTGTAAACGAATTCAAATTATCATTCATATTTTTTTCTGACAGCATATAGCATGTTTTTGACACAAGCTAATCAGAATTTACTTTATCGACATCATGCTTTCGTTCGTTATTGCAAATTCAATAGCCGTATGCCGAAAATTGGCTGGAAATGGAACCATTTGCCAGGGACATGTATATCTTTAAACTCTTGATATGTAACATGAATAATTTAATTATTGTTGAATTATATTTGTGTTCAATTACTTTTTTGGAGTTAATTTACTTTTTCAAGATTAATTCTCAGGGGACCCATTTTTTACTCGTATTTGAGCTTAACACGTTATATACGAAGCGCCAGTTTTGGCCGGCAGGTTAGATTTCAGATTATACTTTCGTCGAAAGCCTCCTCGATTGCGGCAACACGTTTTCGTCCTTCAGATTCCAACAGCTGGTCACCGCTTCGCTTGTCTTCAACATTCCAATCTTCGTTCTCGAAAACTTTGCATAATTCGCGTACTACACTTTCGCTTAAAGCTTCCTTGCCTAAGGTTTTAATCAAATTTGAATCCGCAGCGAAATAAAAACTCTACCACAAATCGTTGGTTTTCCTGACCAAAAGATGTCTTTCCTTCTAAATTTATTTCCCCTAAAGTAAACTCAACTAGTTTTTACTCTCGGGTTTCTATAAGATGGGGTATTTATCATCCAAACTTCGTTTGCTAGCGACGCGTTGTTCAAAAGTTGTTTAATATCAAAGTCCGCCGTACTTGCTTGTAACACCTTAGTATATTAGCTACTGTGACCGTATTATAAGACATTATTACTGATAGGCCGGCTTTCTATATTTCGCCATAATCATGTCCTCTTGGTGGAAAATTATATTTTAAAAGAACATTTCTTGGAGGCAGAGCATATTTTTAATGTAAACATTGATGGGAACATTATTTCAGGTCACCATGCCGCTTGACTTTAGCGAAGCTTCCGCTTTAAACCTGTGAGAATATAAAGCATAGAGGTTTAAAAAAAGATTTGAGCCACGGTATATTCCTTGTCAGAGACATATCACAATTACCTACTTTTTTAATCCAGTACCTACAGAAGTTTCCAAAGCTTTTTATTGTGATAATTAAGCCCGACTAAAACCGCATCCTCTCAACGTTCCGTCATTTAGCACACGGCCGCCATTTTGATACCACGCCGGCTGTTCGACCTGAAGCTCCGCGCGAGATTATCCTGTAGAGTCTCAGTGGGTATTTGATTTTTATTGCAGTTGCGAATTTAGCAGCGGTAGCATAAGAATCGGACAGTACTTTATGCTGCTTGTATTCCGTATGTATACGTAACTAGCTCAATTAGAATAAGTTGAAGATAAGTGTGTGGTAAGGTACGTGAGGCACCGCCATCTCATATTTAAAGACGTTTCACAATTTCGAACAGCTGAGTTTGTTCTCAATAGCGGTAGTAGTTTCAGATTCAAACTGTGTCGTTGTTTTTTTGCGTATTACATTATTTGGATAGCAAAATGACATTCTAGCAATGTCAGCGTTCGTCCCTATAGAATAAACGACGTCTGAGTGTTCCCACAAATACTATAGATGTTCTATGTAAGGACCGTAGGTCGGTACCCCTTGGTTGTTTACAGATGGTACAAATATGATTTTTTGGACATTTCTGTACGTGATGTCTATCTGATCTGTGTACCAGTGTTAAAATTTGCACTTGTATTGTCGTACGTGTCGCAGTTAGTTACCCTTTATTTAGAATTCTCTCTTAATTACGTGAATATAACTTCTATGAATTTGATTATATTTAATTCTTTAATAAATGCATAGTGCTCCTTTGCGTGTTTACCTATGATCATGTGTAAACCAGATAAAGAAAGAAATGCGCAATATTTGATAGTTTCCCTTAAGTGAATATTGAAAGTCGTTTCTCGTGTCTGTTCACAGCGAAATATATAGTCAAGCAGTGGACGAGTAAATCAAAAAAATTTTGTAACAGGCTTTGCAAACATATCCGGAATGACGACAATACAATCTAATTGCATCTACTATTTTTATTATAGTAGATTAAGGAAGGAAGTTGGTTATATATAACCGTAAATGGCTGTCCACAAAAATTGTTTACGTTTAATCCCAGAGGCGTTGAACTGGGTGTTGGTACGAGGGTAGTTCTCATCCTTAAAGATCACTGACACACATGAAAATGCAGAATGAAAAGCTCGTTTCAAGTAAATATTGTTTCGTTGGATAAGCGTTTTCCCATTCAAGTGGTCTTTCATTTAATATATTTCAGTAAATACTGGAACCCTAACAGATATTACAGCTCAGTTGTCTAACACAAAATTTTAACTTTATTTTTATTTTAGATTTTAATGATAGTTGGAATATTGGTTTTTGTGCCTAAATGTCACAATGTTACTTCATTTGTAATCTTTTTTTTTTAATAGATAATGTCCTAAATGAATGGATGAATAATGGCTAACGAGCGCCATCTATATCTGTGCACCCGCTAACTTTTCAACTGGCTTCGGACTTCGGTGGTGCTCTTTGTGTCTGCTTGTTCTTCGTTTGTTGCCCTGTGATCCGGTATTTCAAATTCTCTTGATTCATCATCAGCTGTGTTGTCTATTGTGCCGGGAAGTGCTTAATTTCCGGAGATATCGACTCTCGTGTGTAATCTACAGTGTAGCAATAAAGGAATTCTATTTGCTGCGAATCTTCTTTAGTTCAGGTATTTATCTAAGAGTAACTGAATCCGCTTATCTACAGGTATTAGATATAATACCTGATTAAAGATATAAATTGTTATTGATTATCAATAAAGTTGGCAGGTGCCATAGCCGTACAAGCTTGTTGTGGTGAATTACGCGGAAAGCCTGACCCTATTTTTTAAACATTATCTGCTAAGTATCCTTTTACCTTGATTAGAACTACTTATAGAGGGGAACTTGTGTTTGGGTTGATTTTGAATTGTAGCAATGTATATGAAGACAGTACGCTTTAAAATCCAATACTTGCCTTGTACAACTTTACAGCTGTTAACTTTTTGGCGCTCTATTCGTTCTAATTTTTTCATATTGCGTTATTAGGCTATATATACAAAGTAGTGACTACCAGGGAAGGCGAATAAATGCGATTTCACCGATTAAGTTTTAATTTGAATTTACGAAAAAGTATAGTCAACGTTATTTTGTGAGCAAAAATTAGTCAGTTGTTACGCTTGTGCAGGAAATTCAGAATATCTTGAGAACATTTTGTGTATACAACAAGTAAACCGTAGTATTGAATAAAATGACATTTTCTTTCAAATGTAATCATAAAGTAGCATCGTTTCGGCAGCTCTTCATGAGCCCCCCTATGTTGTAGTTGCTATATATATTGCTAACCAAGACAGAACAGAAAAGTTTTTATGACAGGGCAGTTCTGTATTGTCAGACGTTAGTCGCATTGGCTGCATAATTAATAGAACTTACGATGTGGATTTCGTTTTTTGCTTTAATTTAATTCGGCGATATATTGAGTGCAATCATATTTAAAAGATCGTAGTGCATTATGAAATACACATTTTTCGATAAATTTTTGTTATTATAGAATTAGGTAAGAGTAACCCTATCTACATGACAGATAACGTAAAACAGCATTCTCAATTGATTGTCGCCTATTTCTTATTGCTACAGGTGTCCGAAAAAAAGCTATCTAGGTTGTCATTATGGATATGGAACCACTGGAGCCGTCTTTGCAGAATATCTTTGACCAGCAATCGTTGAAATGGATTTTCGTTGGCGGCAAAGGTGGTGTTGGCAAAACAACTTGCTCTTGTTCCCTTGCTGTTCAGTTAGCGAAAAAACGGGAACGCGTTCTGATCATTTCGACCGACCCTGCGCACAACATTTCTGATGCGTTCAATCAAAAATTCAGTAAAGTTCCCACGCTCGTACAGGGTTTCCCTAACCTATATGCAATGGAAGTAGACCCTAATCTTGGTCTCTCGGAACTTCCCGATGAATACTTCAGTGATAGCGACCCATATAAAATGAGCAGAGGTATGGTTCATGAACTCGTGCAGGCGTTTCCTGGTGTGGATGAGGCAATGTCTTACGCGGAGGTATTGAAACTTGTTAAGGGAATGAATTTTGACGTGGTCGTGTTCGACACTGCGCCAACAGGCCACACTCTACGCCTTCTGTCGTTTCCGCAAATCATGGAAAAGGGACTTGGTAAACTTCTCAATCTAAAAAATCAGCTAAGCCCACTTATCAGTCAGGTAGCTAGCATGCTTGGCTCAGGAGATCTCTCAGCTGACCTGATGTCGAATAAATTGGAGGAGCTATTACCAGTAATTAGGCAAGTAAACGAACAGTTTCGTAATCCGGAGCAAACAACTTTTATTTGTGTCTGTATAGCTGAGTTTCTTTCTTTATATGAAACCGAGAGGCTCGTGCAGGAGTTGACGAAATGCGGCATAGATACTCACAATATTATTGTAAATCAGTTGCTATTTCCTAAAGCTGATGATGATTGCCGTATGTGTCGGGCACGTGTTAAACTTCAGACAAAGTATTTGGATCAAATTAACGATCTTTATGAGGATTTCCACGTTGTCAAACTACCTCTATTAGAGCGCGAGGTTCGGGGAGTAGACCAAGTAAAAGAGTTCTCGGAAAACCTTGTTAAGCCTTATATACCGCCATCACAAGAGACTTCTAAACAATCTGCGCAGCAATCAAAAACGTCTAAAACTCATACTGAGCAAAAGGACTAATGGCGTTCGATATGACAACACAAGAGATCACTAGCTTTCACGGTTTTTGTCAGATCACAGCTAATAAATATCCCATTAATGAATAAGTAATAACAACGGTTTCTACATGTTTCATTGATCAGTTATTTAGGGGTTAACCGGACAAAGAAAACAGTGAGACATTATGAGACATCTGCGAGACGTTTCCTGTTCTGACTAAACTTCCTTGTTGAATAAATATGTCCAGGTACACTCATTTGCTTTAAGTGTCTTTATTTAAGAAGAATTAAATAACCTTTGTTTAATATAAAAAGCATAATATTCTCGTGTCAATAGATCGGGATGACACTTATCGTATTGTGTAGATAAATACCTACTAAGAAATATGAGATCAATTAATTCTGAAGTTAATGGCAAAATAATGATAATTTGAGATATTTTTGCCGTTAAAATCAATTTCCTACGCTCAATCTGTTTGTACCAAAATCTATTCAAGAGTAAATTCTGTGTACTTACTTTATAGCAAACGACGTGATATGTTGATCGGCGGAAAATCGAATATTTGCATTAATTTATATTACAATATGGTACCTGTTGATGTCTGTAATTGTATCTGTTGTACCTATTAACTTTTGATTGAAAAGCCGAACTGTTAATGTATGAGAAAGGAATTGGGAGTTAGTTGATACTGGATTTAGCGGAGAGGAATCCACCCTCCATAGTCGAATTTCATGCTCATGGGCCCATACTAGGTATACGATGCTCTACACGGCCATGTAAAAACAGCAAAAAAACGGAGATGAAAAAACCATCTGTTAGTAACAATTTGGATACTGAATATTTCTCCAAAAAACGAACTAAAGAAATTTACTTTCTATAATTTAGGTGCACTAAATGTCTTTGCTTCTTATTTGAGCATTTAAAGCTTATTGAGGTAGATTTTGCTACAAGTAATGAAGACATGTTAAACTGACCCTGGCTCAAAGAGCTCTATAAAAGCTGTTTTGAAAAATTAATTGCAGATTTCTAAAAAGTCGACACTATTCGGTATTACATAGCTTATTCCCCATTTAATAACATGGTCGTAATCCTATTATGCATAAAGGATAGTGATTTACAATATTAGAAATAATCTTTTATCAGTTTAATCTTATGACAAAACGATAGGTTCATGTGTGCCCTATTTAAATCGTTCTCTTGAATGCAACTTAATAATTCAAATAAAAATATTACTTATATTTTTCTGGCTTAAAGCATTTTACGAATTTTTGTTCCGATAAATTCATTTGGCACTATACTCAATAATATCATCTTTGATGCTTTGCTCAACTTTTTCTTTGATGTAAAATCATAATATTTTAAACATTTTTCTGAGTTTTTAAAAAGTGAAAACCTTTATATTAAAAGTACAAGACTAACACAAAGAGGCCACATATGTTTTAACTAAAAGTATCCGATATTAGCTATGAGGTCATAAGCTATTAGTAGACCATAAATAAAACTGCATTTTGAATATTTGAATTCTTCTAACAGGTGCATATAGAACATATATTTCGTACATACGAGTAAATATCATTGAATAACCATACAAATGTAGCAGGTTTAATTCGGAACCGTTAGGGACTCCCACGATTAGGAACTACTGTACCCATACTGTCCAGACAAACGAATCTCGTCCCCATATAGTCTGTGGTTAGCGTACTTCCGCGCTAATATTAAGAACACGGTGTGGTCCAGGTTCGAAGCCGGATATAAACGCATGACGTTTATGCTGGAAGCCAACAGTCTGATGGAATTTCAAACGGCGATATTGAATGTAGGGGACATAACATAAAGATATGCTGAACTGACCACAAAAACTGTAGCGACATCAAACTACTGTAAGAACTTATAGAGTAGCGCCACTTACGAAAAAGGTCACGCGTATATACAAACCACATGCATTTTTTACTTCCTTTTTTGTTTTTTTCGGCACATAGTCACATTTATCGTACGAATGCCTATAAAGACAACTTCACATTAGATTCGTTAATGTATAAAGCTCATCTTTTTAAACATATTTTAGGAAAGTTTCACTCAAAAAGCATATTCGCTCCGTATGACATGAAAATATCTCTAACTAGTCTGAAGACCTGAAGACATCTTTCAGTTTAGCTGTAATAGCGCGTAATTTTAACATACTTCGACGCACATTACATAATCTAGCATCATCCTAACCATAGTCATGGTTGTTAAAGCTGTGAGTTGCCAACAGAAGTAGATAAAGCTCATCTGCATATGACACGTGGTATAATAGATCATTTTGTTCCTGAAGACTTAATTATGTGAAAGATCTTCTGATACATTAAGTCTTGTCTTCCATCAGTATTTGTATCGATGTAACAATCGTTTCGATGAATAAGAGCACCTTGAAAGGTCCTGTGTAGAGGCGTAACGATACTTTATGTTATAAAGGAATCTGTTAAGCTAACTTACATTTAGTTAATATTTGCGGACCTCGAATTTTCGTTAGGGTGGCAAATATGTAAATCAGTTACTAGCCGGTTAAACGTCTTTAAGAACCAAGCTTTCTTGTAGAACAGCATGACTAAATTTATTAGATAGATAACGGGCTGGAAAATAATAATTGACAAATTCCAGTGAGGATACCAATGTTATGAGATTTCAGCCCGTGGTAACAATGGTTGTTACCGATTCCGCGTTTTGCTAACAGACGTATTCACCACGCAATAAAGTGACTTTGATGTGATATTTAGAACACACGGGTGAACTTCCTTACATAGGCAGTTTTTTTTTTTGCAGAAATAAATAGACTCTAATTAATTTGAATAAAAGGGCATGTGGGTATTTGAAAAAAAATAGAACTTTTTTATTATTAGATTATCTGGTCCGGTAACAACAGTCGAACAGACATTTGAAAAAATTTAATTCTGGTCTATATGGATAAAACAGTGATTCTCAAGCTGTTCGAAATGACGTGGATTTTATAGAACACTGTGCATCGTAGAAGTCTTTCTTTACGATAGTGTAAAAACATATAACTATCTACTGTTGCTGCCTAAATTAAGTTTATCGTCAAGGGGTCGCAAAGATAATAACAAAATAAATAGCTCAAAGAAACTGAATAAAGCCAACATATCTTTTTGAAGAAAAAAAATTTAAAGAGCTGGTGTTCCTCATTTAGACTAGGCAACGTTATATAAACACATTTGGGGTTGTTGTAAATGCACATAGAGAATCTGCTACAAGACTGAATTTCATGTGAGACGCTATAGCCTGAAAACAGAATAAAAATTCTACTTCTAGTGGTAGTAGCATACTAAATATAATTGATTAATCGCATGGAAGAAAAAAAAATGGGTTAAAAGTGTTGGTGAACACCAAAAAGTTATGACTAACTCAGTGTAGGCCTCCTATTTCTTATATATTTACATCATTTCGGTTCTGTAAATAGAACAAACGTTTTGAGTAAACACAAATCAGATTATATTAAATGTGTTAAAATGTGCATTAAACGATTTCATGGAAAGATATTCTAGTCGTAATGAAATGCATTTATGTGATGTATCCTTTCACTAGCTAGACAACTTGTCTTCATCAAGTTGTATTTTTCTTCTTCACCTTTTTTTATTTACTTTGATTTATTATGCCTTGTTTCTTTTTACTTATTTTTATGCTAGGTCTAATAAGAGCCATGGTGCTACTGTATCTTTTGTTTCATGGAATTTATAATAGGATTTTTGTTCGAATTTCCAATATTTTTCTATTTCCATAATTATTAATGTTTCAAAAACTAGACTTTGAGCCCGCCTATCTTTCTGTTTGGATCTGCCCTTTCCACTGTCGTCGTCAGTTCGGACGTCGCTTGGCATATCCTTGATAGTAGAAATTTATAACATAATCATATGATGACGGGTCTACGTCAATGGATAATAATTGACAAGATGCTCCCGCAATCTCGTGATTTAAAAAATGACGCAGCCCGTCCAAAAATACGTAAGTATATTGGGCTTCTTATACCACCGACGTCATGATTTTTATGGTTCGAAGCTAAAACTCAGCTCTTTGAAAGGATCGTCCGCCGATAAAATTAGCATTTCAGCATCGAACTGTAATTCTAGTAAGTTCACAGTAAGTTAAGGAAGAAGATAAGTTTATTAGATTCTGTTCTTACCTGCTGTCATAAATGCTTATTATTTTCGGAAGAGTGCGTTGTAGTAAAAATATTGCGTAAAAAAATAATGAAATTATCCGAAAATTTAATCCATAATTTACAGTAGTATTGTAGCAGTACTATGCCACCTTACTAAGCTCCGTCTGAAAAAAGTCCCTTTATATTTGTCCTTCAAATTCCATTTACAGTGTGGCATAATAGTACTACAAATTTTCAATTTTGCCGAAATTGTTTATCGTTTGTTTAAAATAAAAAAAAACACTCATTTTAACTAGCTTAAGTTCGTGTTTTCACTGCGCTTTTGTCACTTTGTTTTCCTTCAGACACCGATAGCGGCTGTAATGCACCCGTTGTGCGAGTTGTCAAAGATATGCATGGACTCGTATATAAGCTGGTGCTCATACAAGGCGTAGGGCGGGTAGTTTCTAGACAAGCCGACGTGCAGCTCACAATGACAATGTACGTAACTCGTAAGGATGCATGCTATATTGAGCAGATCTTCGAAAGTTTCTACGACAACCAATTACCAAGTGATTTTATAAAAATCTATGAGCACACCGAATGCAACCCCTATGTTAAGTCAGTGACAAATATAATGCCCGTTGGCCTACAGAAAGCTGTGTTAACTATGTGTAGAGACGAAGAGGCAATAGTATATATAGATCCATTGATGGCCTATGGTTGCGCCGGGCTGAACTATGGAGACAAAGCAAAAGAACAGATCCAGCCGAGCACCGCTCTTGTTTACAAGATTCGTCTTATACGTTGGAAAATAAATAACAACGCAGAACAACTTGAGCAGTTTTCAAGCCTACAATCAGCAACGCCTACTTTCGTCGAACTGCTTGCCCAGGCTAGAAAACAACTGCTTGCAGGAAAAAAATTCACCGCAATGCAGTCGTTGAGGAGAGGCATCACAGTGCTCGAAACAATACCAATCGATCAAAGGATCCTTGAGCCGATGCAGAAACAGGAGCATGAACGAACACTCCTTTATATACTAAAGCTTGCGTCGCAGACCGCAATGCAGTTGGGTTGGTACAATTTTACTGTGTCGTCCACCCGAAGAGCACTCCAAATCGATCCCAAAAACACTGAAATTATCTTTTTACAAGGCTGCGCATACTTCGCCCTTGGTTATAGTGACATAGCAAGACAAAAGGTGCGTCAAGCCCATCTAAGGGATGTTACCAATAGAGATTATAGGGAAAAGCTTGATGAAATCAATCGACACGTAACCCTAATCGATGACTCTGAGTCGGATGATGAATGCCACCAAGACTACGAGCAAATGGCTAGTATAATAATGGAAAGAAAGGCGGCAAATGCTGGCCGTATAGTCGAAGACGTGATGAAGCTGTGTAAGGAGCTGGCTGACTCTGGAGAACCAGATGTTTTGATACGCGGCGGATTTTCTTTTGAGGACGTGAAATCCATTCTAAATGCTTTGCAGTCTGAAATGGATAGCGAAATAGTTGTGAAGTTATTCCGTGAGAACATAGAGGTGGAATTTCTTTGCAACTAGATTAAACAGCGTATTACATAATAGGCATCATAACCAATCAACTAGGTGACCTACAAAGAGTGAAATCCTGAGTTTTTCTATTTTAACTAAAGGTCAACTCTATCAAATTATCAACAAAGGTACGGATACGAATGTCAGACCGTCAATATCATTCTATATGTGCAACTGTTTTTTATCAAAAAATAATTATATTTCCCAGTTTTATCAAAAAGTTTCTAATTTACTTTTTAAATTAACCGTAGTATTTGGCAAGAAGGTTAAATATGAGGCCTTTTGAGTGTTCTCGTAATTATCTGCATTTGTAACGTCTACTTATTGAACTACTTCATTGTATATTCTGTTTCACAATGTATATTTCAAATTTATTAATAATTTATTTTGATTATGTGGGAGCTTGTAAAACCTTGTAACGCTAACTTCATATTAGGTCATGAACCTTTTCAAACATTTACACACAATAAAATGCGCCTGAAATCCAGCAGATTTCCTATTATTACTGCTATTGTTAGTATAATTAGCGCCAGTTGAGTCCCACCGTTACAATTATATAATTACAGCGCGCCCTAAAATTGTTTTGAGTGAGTATGTAAATGTCAATGAGGAAAGTTACCTTTAATAAACTGTTTTATAGCTAATTCGGCGAATTCAAGAAACAAAAAACAAGCTTCATCTCTTTTGGAAAATTACGAGGCAAACTCGGCATCACAGTGCTATACGAAACGAAACTTAGTCAGAAACAGTAGGTGGTGGTTTTTTAAGCTCTTTATCATTTACTATTAACATACGTATTGTAATGCCTTATAAGCCACAGAAGTGACAGTAAAATTCTATATATATCGAAAAATTGTGAAAGGCAAGGTTGTAAAGCTTATTCATATATGTTACATGTACAAATGTTGGGTCGCTCAGTATAACATGCAAGATAGTGATCTCCTGACCGTTCATGCCTTCGTCACAAGCATAGTTCTCTTATTTTCAATTGAACTATTCATCATTATTAATGACCCTCTGCTATTAGGTAGTACCTTATCTATTCCGCGGCCTAGTCTATTTGCTAGAGAGCTAAGGTCTCAAAAAGAACATGTTCAGACATGTTAAAATGAACAGTTTTGCTATGAAGAAATTTACGTAAGTGATGTTAAGATGATGAAGTAGATGACAATGAACGACTTGTAACCTTTGGATGATCGCTACCGTGACTCCTGCTGTATGAAATAAACGTTATCGTGAGGTTGGGAGTGATTTACTTTTGTTCACTGAGTTTAGTTTCTAATAGAGTTTTTCATCATCTCCGAAACACGACTGCAGATGAGAAAAATGGAACAGCACAGTTCGACCGTAATGGACGAGCCAGGATTCGTGAGACTGTACTGGATAACACCTGCACAACCTCTGCAAATTAGGCTTTTGCAGCCGTACATTTGCTGTAATATAATGTCTCAACAGTTCAGCCGTATTCGTCCATTGGTACGACCATCTGCAATTATCCTAAAAAATAATTTTTTCATTGTAAGTCACAGTTCGATGTAAAAATGCGCCACTGTTTTTATGTAAAAGCAATAAGAAGCGTCTTTATATATGTCTGTTTTTCCTTCTGTTTAAATTTTTAGCCCTATTAATATCGGGGAGATAAATATAGCATGTTTACGTGCACCAAGCCTGAGCTCTCACCCGTTGACCTTGAAATGGGTGGGTTTTCGCCGCGGTTCTCATCATTTCGTCTACAAGGCTCACTTTTTCTTCAGAACGTTCTTTCTAAGTTTTTGAAAGCGACAGTTTACGCGGTCTTTGATAATAAATCCTCCACGGAATACAAGCGTTATATAACGGACTGCTCCTAGATTAGTCAAATTTGCTAATTCTCCATGATCTATTGCTACACGTTTGCTGGAAGTATGAAAAAAAATACTTGTACTATAATAAGACGCTTGATTGCTTATTTTTAATTGAAATTTCTCAACTATTAAGAATATTTGCATGAAGTTGATACCATTATTTCATTTAGCAGTCCCGGATCGCTAATAGGGCAGGCGAACTATTGAAACAAGTTGACAGTTCTGGTGGCTTATAGCTCGCTCTCGACATAACCGAGTATTTTGGGAAATTTTAGAACCTGTATAATATCTTCTCATAGCCAAGTTAAAAACATAAGTTTATCTTTGCTATAACTAGATCTTAGCTGTCAATACTTTCGATAGGTTTCTATTCAATACTGAACTTGGTTTTATATTAACGGGTCAGCTACGTTCCGCATGGACGACTATATCTGATATAAACTAAGATAAAATACTTATGGAAGTTTATGATAGCCTGTTATGAAATGAAATCTTCTGTCCCATGCGGTAAAGTTATTAAATCAAAAAGTCATTTAATGGAAATTGCTCTGTTTGGACTTAGAAGCGTCCAGTTGTGTGTCGTTTGTGTGTATACAGACCCTAAACATTGAACTCCTAAGTAGACGGCAGAAGTAGGTAAAGATTCGCTAAAGAAGGCACTTCGTTGCTTTTAGATAAAGGTTATATAGTGGCATAAATGTTCAAATGTATAGGCATATACTTTGATACCATATAGCCAAGCTAGCTCTAGCAAATCTCTCCAAGAAGTGGTCTGGGTTTGAACCTAGGACTCTGTTTCATGCGGGGAGTCAGCCGTTTGATAAAATGGCTAACGGCTGTACCGGAAGTAAAACTTGAAATACAGAGGTTTCAAGAAGTCGGTTAGGTAAGTAAGTGATGATTTAGTGAATATACTTGATTTCGTTTATCTCTGGAATGAGCGTAAATTAAGTGAGTCGAAACAAAGAAGCTCGATCTGAGGAAAGAAATAGCACATAGCAAATTGGTGTTTATGGATATTTTTTCATTTTAATGAGCTTCCAACTAGGGTTATCGTATATACACATACTTATTTCCGATAGGAACGCCCGGACTCTGAAAAGCCGATTAGTCGAACGAATTTTCAATTAAAAAACGAGGGACAAGGGTACTCCTCTCTCTCTCTCTCTCTCTCTCTCTCTGTGTATAATGCATCCAGCCTATTTCGGACTATACCAGACTATATATTCAGTCAGTTAGAGTTGATACCTTAGCGTATCTAATTTATGGCTAGTGAATTTGGTATGGTTTACTTGTGTGCACAGTTAATGCTAAATAAGGATACACCGAGTAGCTGGACAGCTGATTATTTCAAGTTCTTTGCTTTTCATTTGCTGACTAGCAGACGTTGGAGCAAGTCATAGAGATATTACCAATTTTCTAATCGGTTTTTGCATTACTGCGATGCTTGTTCTTCGATTCAATCTGAAAACTCCAGTCTGGTAGAGTATGATAACTAAAAAGGACCCTACGTGCCGTCATTAGATCTACACTAAGATTGTGGGAATGAGACAAACTGTGCAAAAGTTACGCCTCTACATATTTAATACGCTATTTTGTTAAGCTAGTTCTAGTTTTACGAATTAGCTAGATTGGCTACTATACAAATTTAGAGCCTATATGAAGATATAAAAAAAAAAGTTGTATAAAGCATGGATTTTACTTTTTTTTTTGTAAGGCGCGTGAGTTCAAAGATCCGTTTTTGGTTTAAGCACAATCTAATGCATTTGGGAAACAAAGAATATATACCAATATTTCCTTTTGTTTTTTACAAATATTTTCTTTGTTTATATAGGTTGTGTAATATGGGTTGTTGACAACATTCGAAGCAGCCTCTGACTTTTTACACCGGAGGCCAAGCGGTCTAAGGCCCTCCGTCAAAACTAGTGCATCTAAAATAAGGACATATGCCGTTAGATAGTGCTTCTGAGACCGAAGAATTAGATGAAAATAAAAAATTTCTATATAACTGAAAATTTATTTACGCCAACTGATCCTTTCTATTTCGAATGAAAATTATATACCTGTGTTCTAAGACTCTGCGTAAGTGAACAACTCTGATTACACTAGAAATGCGACTTAGTTTTAGCAGTATGCAGTGATTTCGGTTGATATTTAGAACGCTGCACTTCTCAGTGTAAGCAGTCTGGTTGTGAGCTTTATGTAGTGATTGTATAAGGGTGCCGTTGATAAAATATAAGTACAGTTTTACTAAAACAAACTAAAACAAACAAAGGATATATATATGCTTATGTAAGGTAAGTGGCGCCATATGTCGGAGTTGTATTCACATTATTGTAAACATAAGCCAACACTACGAATCGAAGGAAGCACTTGCACATTGCATACTTAAAAACAACTCATTCAATGAAGGAAAGTGGCCACTACTAGTGGGTTCTTAGAAGACGTTACATTAGAACGGGTGCATACCACTGTTCGCCACGAATATATATATATTTTTTTTCCTTTTTTAGACCGTCGATAAATATCATGGTCCTAGGATTTGAATAAACTGGTATATATACATTTTCGGCAGAAAAAAGGTAGACATGTGTCTTTTACGTTAATACTGTCTCAGCAAAACAAAATGTCTATCACCATGTTTGAAACTGTCGTTAATGTGAACTCTTCTTCTATCTCAATGGGATCAAAAGCACTTTTGTCTGTATTTGCTTATTTTCTATTAGTCGGCTTACGGATGCTATATAGACTCTTTATAATATCTGTTAGTTCGTTTTATTCGTAGGAGCCTTAGCAATTACAACGCCCAATCGGACGCAATACGATGGTAACCCAATAACCAAAAACCGTTCCATCACCGCTCCTTAATCACAAAAGAGTTCGTCCAATTATTAAGTTAACTTGCAACTTGCTGACCGCAACGCGACGTCACAATTAGTGGCAAGGATGAATTCGCAGGTAGACTGGCTGCTTTTCGTCACCGCCGTGGCTCTATGGCAGCGGTAGTACCGGTCTGCATCATGATTCTTCTCCAGCAGCAAACCTCAACATAGCAGATGCGATGCCCTAGTTTGACCGCATTCGTTTATCAGCCTGAGATCGACGACAAAGATGAGCGAAGGTCGCGGACGTCCTATTCATTGATTTTGTAGGCTCGTATATACTGTCGCTATACCAAGTGTTAGCCTATTTCCGTCAACAGCATATATTTCACTGACGGCTGTAGCTAACAAGCTACAGCCCCCCATGAATATAGCCGTCTACGACGGATCGTCGCAGTGGTGAAGGCTATATATATATAGTAAATTTGTTTTTAGAAGAACGCAACTGTCTCGTATGAACGTATAAAATAAACGTATATAAACATAAAATCGCATCGGAGAGGCTGTGTAACGGTGGTATTGTAGCGTCTGGGGCCACATGGCAGATACGTGTAGTCTCTGGTACATGAAAATGCACTGTCCCACATATCATGTGATAAAATCCGCTTACCAAAAAAAGTGCAAGTATGCGCCGGATCATTCTGTTCAGCTCCTTCCAGGCTTTACTAGTTATAACTCCAGTATTATGGAAGTCTGATGATATCCATATTGGCAGGTGTGATGACACGCTTAAATTTGCATCTCAAATACTTCACAGAAAATAGTGTATCACCTAGAAGTCACACGTAACTATTTAATGTGAACGATGCGGGCTTGCGGCGCGCATTAGAAATCAACGCCTGATCTAGCCGAACCTCTCAAACTACTTCAGTGAATTGTTTTCAAATCGTTTCGATTCCATAGCAAGCAATCGAGGTCATCTTTATATCCGTGTTCGAGGGAAGTTTCAAGGACGTATTCCCACCTGGCAACCATCGCTAGTTACATTCTCTCCGTCGTGTGCTTTACGACCATTCATAGGATTAGATCAAAGTACCAAATTTGCCTGTCTTTACGACCCATTTTTAAATTTGCTTCAGTGGTTTACGCAGTCAGACTAAAACATATGGAAGCGCGTCTATCGTTACAACTACATAGGCAACGTTCCTTCTGGATACCGGTAATTTTCAAACTTATTTCTAGCTGGCCCTCTTACGACACGTTTCGATACTGCTGTTTAACATAACTTTATTGATTTATAAGGACAGGGGGCTTAACAAAGGAGATTTAAAGGAATTGAACAAGGAAAGGGATGTCTATGTTTATTAATGTTCCTTTTGTTACATTATTGCAAGTTCAATATGATTTTAGGCTGAAATTCGAAGCAGAACTACTTATTCGATTCTCCGATAAGTAAGTACGTTACCACTGTATCATGAGTTTAGGAGAAAAAAACTTCCTCTGGAACTAGTAGTAGCTAGATTAGATATTGCTACATGGTAGTCCACAGGGAAGTCATATATCGCAACAACGAACTTATAGCTATGCACTCTTCGCTCAAAAATCGTATTGATCACTCTTAGGTCTTTTATAGCGCTCGAT